GTACTTTAGAGAGGAGACTTTGGCTCCTTCCTCTTTGTCGGCTTTGCAGACAACAATATGGGAGCTGACACGGAATATAGCATCCATGCAACAAGACATGACTATGGTCAAACAGGAGTTGGCCCAGTTTCCCAAAGGTGGAAACCCCTCACGATGGGATCCTGACAAAGACCAGATGGCAGTATGGGAGCTATGGGCATCTGACCAGGAATTGTGGTCACCTCGAGAACAAGGGTGCCCCTCACCAACAGGTAAATTAAAGGTTCCCTGTGCAGAAGGGTGATCTCCAAGAACTTAGCATAAATGTCTTATGGCTCAGGAGTTGATTTTTGCACCAAGCTCAGTGGTCACCGACTTAATGAACAGGCAGCAGGTCCACTGTCTTACTGATGCTGAGTCTGAAGTCACCACCATGTAGTATAACTTTTATGTGCAGTGGTTTGGGGCCTGGAACCATCTAGACCTGTCATGGTTGTCCTTGAAAGCAGTAAACAATATACCCATTATGGTAGAAGGGTGACAGTGCAGGTTTTCGACCAGGTGGTGGAGCGAGTAGGGGTTGTAGTCACCTGTAGTCCGGTGTTTTTTTCTATAACCATGGACCTGGGTATGAATGTTCTTAATGACCTGTACTTTTCCTAATTTCTGACAGAAATGAAGAGACTATGTGGCCATAAGCATCATCTGGGCCTTTGAGACCTGTCATTGGGAAAGTCAGGAAAAAAACAGTGCCGGTGGTAGAGTGACCAGTTGACTATCTCGTGCTAGGAATACCTGCTGTGCCGGCAGAGCTAGCTTCATCAGCTGTTGGAGAAATGCATATTGGTTTTTGCTGCTGGTCCTGGGGATTATGGGTGTACTAAAGACATAGACCCCCCTATACATATAGAGCTTGATACACCCATACGGAAGCACATTTCTCCTGTTCTGTGCCAAGAAGTCAAGGACTTGATTTGCAATATGCTGCAAAGCAGAATAATCCAGGAGAGCCACAGTTCCTGGTCTGCCCCATTGTTCTAGAGCAAAAGAAAGATGGCAACTTGCTGATCTGTGTTGCCTATTGCAATCTCAATACCTATTGGGACGCCTACCCAATGCCTTGGGTAGAGGAATCGAACATAGCCTCATGCCAAGCCTGTTATTTCTCCACATTGGACCTAGCTTGTGCCTACTGGCAGGTCCCAGTGAGGGAGCAAGTTCAGGAGAAGATGGCTTTTATAATGCAACTGACATTATACAGAATCAATTGCATGCCCTTTGGGCTAACTAATGTCCCAATCACTTTTCAGAGACTGATGGTGCAATGCTTTGGGGATCACAACGTTAAAACAGTATTACTCTACCTGGATGACATGATCATCTTTTCTTAAACCTTTGAAGACCTTATTCAGTGTCTAGACTGGGTGTTTACCCACCTCTCACAGTATGTGTTGAAACTGAAGCCTGAACAGAAACTGACCAAATGTCAATTGGTGTGGCAAAAAATTCAACACTTTTGTGCATGCCGTTGAAGCAATGGGGTGTCTCCTAACCATGCTGATATTAAAGCTGTGCAAGTTTGGAACACCCCAAAAACACAGACTGTGTTCCTTCCTGGGAATAGTGGGGTACTACAGACGTTTTATCCCTAAATTCAACAATATTTTAGCTCCTGTCACCCAGTTGCTGAGTAGACAACCTTCTTAGAAAAAGAGGCAGCCTTCACCTTCCATCAACAACTAGCTTTTGACAACTTAAAACAGAGTCTGACATCAGCCCTCTCTTTGCCTATATTGACTATTCAATGTAGTCCTTCCAAGTTTACATGGATGGGAGCCTGCAAGGAAGGGTGCTGTATTAGAGCAAGATCAGAACAAATGCAATATACGACCATCTCAGTGAAACCACCATAACTACAATGAATTTAAACTAGAGTTTCTAGCCTTGGTGTGGGCTATCACTGAAAAGTTTACTGAATACCTGATGGGAGCTCAAATCGAAGTTTACTCTGATAACAATCCCCTAGCCTACCTACCTGTAGTCCACCAAATTAGAGGCCTTGGAACAGAGATGGGTTGCTCGACTGGCTTGTTTCAATTATAAGATGCACTACAAACCAGAGTGACTCAAGGGCCATGCTGATGCTCTCTCTTGATTTCTGGTGGAGAAGCCCAAAGGAGATGTGGAGTAGGACTAGGAGGACTTGGAAGTTGCCCTGTTCTGCCCCAACATGCCTCCCCTTTGTGTGTGCATGGTTTGGTTCACATACTGGATCAGCCTTCAGGGGTGGCCAAAGTATACTCCTTGTCCAAATGGCAACCCTACAGCAAAAGGACCCTGACATTTCTCAAATACAGTGGCTCCTCTCTGGGCAGCAAAGGCCTACCTCACAGGAATGTCAAGGATTGCCAATTGTGTCCAGAGTCCTGCTTTGGCAGTGGGATCATTTGGAGATCCAAGACAATGTGCTATCTTATTGAGCTTGCATACCTACTGAGTAGTGGGACATCCTGTAAATAGTGGTTCCTCACTTGCATATCTTAGAGATCTGCTGGTTAATGCATTCAGATAATGTACATTTCAGGATGGACTGCACTAAAGCCTATGTCAGGATATACTTCTACTGCCCCAGGCTATCAGAATGGATACAGTGAGCCTGTAGTGAGTGTATCTCCTAATCTTTCCTCATAGCTGAGCTCCTCCATGCCTCTTATCAGTTTGGTTGTCCTTCTCTATACTTTCTTCAGTTCCCCAATGTTCTTTTTGTGAATTGGTGCCCAAAACGAAACTGCATATTCCAGATGAGGTATAACTAATGATTTGTACCGTGGTAAAATTATATCTCTCTCTCTGGAGTGTATACCTCTTTAAATGTTGTGGTACCCAAGAAAGACCAGACTCCTGTGACCACCAAAATTGTTCTGCAACCATGTAGTACAGCCTTATTGGTGCCCCAAATGAATTTTGTCAGATCAAAGCCCTAACTTTTATCTCCAGGTATTCTCTGAACTGTGTCACCTCAGTGGAATCTATAAATCTCACACTACCCCATTACCACACTACCCCATTATCATCAGGTCAATGGGGTCTGCAAGCATTTCAATCCTATGTTGTTGGGCATGTTGGGGACACTGGAGCAGGGGCTCCAGGACCTCTGCTATCAATGTGTAGGAGATGTTGTGTGTGCTATCAATAACATGATGCAACGGGCCACAGGAAACTTTCTTTCTGACGTTTGGGTGTAGCAGGTGGTTACCAGTAGACTTACATTTAAACACCAAGGAGTGTACTTCCCCTAGTCACCTAATAAGTGGGTCCAGGAACAGTAGGAATGGCTGAGAAAAACTAAACAGACAGTTCTCAAGCAACACAAATATATAGCAGAAGATGCCAACCTGGAGATGCTACTGCTGCGAGCAAGGGACTGGGTGTTAATGAAAAATTCAAAGTTCAAGAGAGGCAGTAGAATGGAGGATAGGTGGGAGCTTACCCTGTACCGAGTGGAGAAATAAACATTCCCACCATCCCCTGTGTATGATGTGGTGTCTGAAGGTCTTGAGGCCATCAAGAAAGGTCTTAACTGAAACCTTTTGAGACCCTATGTGCTGGGTGCAGATTGTTCCACTACACCCACAACAGACTGCGAAGACACTAGTATCCTGGACCTTCCTCCAATCCAAGAAATTCCTGTGGAATGGTACCTTCCTTCCCCTGGAGCTTGGCTGTCATGAAGGAGGGAGTTCCTCTACCACTCTTGATATTGCTGAGGGCCCATGTGCAGACGGTGAGTGTCCTGTTGAGCCTATGGACCCCTCTATGAACACTGTTGATGGAACAGGTGTGAGTGTTATATCTGACCATGATAACCCTCAAGCATCTGAGGCTTCTGATCAACCTTTAGTAAATGTAAGTACTGATGCTGAGCCAGGAGCAGATAGCAAGGACCGTTGCCCCCATTCAATTTAACTGAGGGAGTTACCTGCAAAGTATTCCAATTATGTTATGTAAAGTTTCTAGTTATCACTGCATTTTGTGCCTTATGAAAAGTTGTGCTGTGTTGTTTTGTTCTTGTGTACTTACAATACCAAGAACAGCATCTGTCAAAGTAGGGGGGAGTATAGGTAGGTACAGCAAGTGGCACTGTTCAGCTGGCTGCTGTGTAGAAGGGAATGGAAGTTTAGAAGAAATTTGTTCCTTTGTTAGTAGAGGAAGGAACGAGACCAGACTCCAGTAGAATTTGAATTTCGTGACCCTTTTACCATTTAAACTGGTCGGATGTATAGAGAAAATGGGGCCCACTTACCACTGGTGTTGCTCCCAGTAGGCAATTTTGGTATAGAAGTACACTGTATAAAACAGGTGTTATAGCATTTGGTCACATTTCTGTTTAACCTTGCTTTATTTGAACAATCTATTTCTAATACACTTTTTTCAATCAAGTTTTATTCCCATCTGGTGTTGTTAATTCCACTGAGTAGGGTCAGAGCGGTAGGGACTGTAGTCCAAATAATTAGTGAAGGAAACCAGTTTCAGAGGGCTTATCAAACAATTGTCTCCTTTGGGGGTATGCTACACATGGCATTTAAAAAATTCCCAGTAATACCATCAATGGCGTGACCAGGGGTCTCTTTAATCTTGATATAGAATGGCATAATCAAAACTTATACAAACAAAAACCTACCTAAGTTTGCATCTAAGCATTTACTATTTGTCACTTCAGTGTTAAGTAAATGTAAGTCCAATACCAATGTAACATTGAAATAAAGTGTGCATAACCAAGGAAGCTTGTTGTCAGGGTCCTATCCACAGCAGAAGTTCTGGCAATTTCTGCCAATACTCTACATGGTCGCAAAAGGACACATCAGCCTCAGTCTGGTGCCAGACGGCCTTTATAAGGAGGCTCATCACTTCCTCTGGTTGCTGGATGATCTCTAGCTCCCCGTGGTTTGTTCCTGTTTCCTGTGGCTTGATTCCGACCCGGCTTGTACTTGGACCTGTCTGCTCTACTGACCCCCCTGATCTGACCTCGGCTTGGCTAAAGGATACTCTCTCGCTCCTCCATGTATGACCTCAGCTATCCCACCTGACCACGTCTGTTCTGTTTACCACCCGGTACCTGACCTTGGCTCGAACTGACTAACCAGCAAACATCCAAATCCCGGAAGGCTTGCATACCATGCACCAGTCTGCAGACCTATCCCCGTGCACCAGCTGTGCTCCTGAGTGGATCACCAACCAGCACTCCTACAGGCGACCTGTGCAACTTTGAGAGGAGTCCGGAATTTAGCCACAAGGGAAGCCCTCTCTCCATTGGCCTCCATCTCCAGGTACGTGATACTTGTGCTAGCCAAGGGGCAGATAATCATGGATCCACAATTTATTATATTCATGAAGGGGTTACCTCTACGTTGGAAAATATATCATTCCTTCCCTCAGTAGGATTGTGTTGACATTAGTGCATCACTCCTCAAGGGTAGGAGGATGTGGGGATAGCTGCTTCAGGGCTATACGTTTACAGGCAAAAAAGAGAATTCTGACTAACAGGGCCCTAATCTCTAGAGGATATACTTCCTCATCTAGATGTCCCAAAATACAGACTTTAGGTTCCAGGGCAATCTATGTACAAAATACTTTAACAGTGTCTACTGCCACTCCCATGTATCTAACTAGCTTGGGGCAATTTCACTGCATATGGATCAGGTCTGTTGGTGCTCCTTGGCACCGGGGAGAGCCTGGGTTATCTATCCTATGCTAATGCAACAGGTTTAAAGGGGTACGGTAAGATTTATGCACTATAAATAAGTCAGTCTCTGGGTGGGTGACAGACGACACCATTAGGAACTGCTCCAAAATGTGGGACCAAACATCTTCTGCCAAGTGCCTAGAACCTTTTCCTGCCCCACCCTCCTTGGGATAGGAAGATCTGATAAAAAGTAGTCAGAAGTGATGAATGAAGTCTAGATAGTCCCATTTTATCTACCATCTCAATTAGTCAATTGTCCTCAGTGATAATGTTGGTAATTTTGGCCTGGGCCACCAATGCGTGTCGCAGTTGCAAGTATTGATAAAATCTGTGGGTTGGAATGTAGTATTCTGCCTATATGATTTGAAAGGCTTTGAGAACATCTTGGGAAATTAACTGGCAAATGTACTTCACACCTGCCTGATACCAGGACTCAAATCCTTCCAATTTACTCAGTTCTCCTAGGCACAGGCTACCCCACAGTACCACTATATCATAGAACTTTTTTCACCTCCACCCATGTTTTTTGCATCAAGGCTAATGTTAGGTATAATAAGGAGGAGCAGAAGCTGTTTGCCTCCAACTGTGGAAGAAGATGGTACCTGGCTGTCCGGGTTAATAAAATTGCCTGTACAGGGTCTTTCCAGTTAGATGTACCCCAACCAGAGTTGGGCAGCCATAAAGTATGGTCTAAAATTAGGTACCACTAAGCCTCCTCTGTCGTTCCGCAGTTTTATCCTAGGATGCTTACGCTTCCAGATTAAGATGCTATGAAGAGAATCAATTTTCCAAAACCAAAAATGAACAATCCACACCGGTGAATTATGGAGCACATATAAAATTTGGGGGCCCAAAATATTTTGACCAAGTTAGCTCTCCCCACAACTGATAAAGGGAGTTTGTTCCAACATTTACTTTTATGTTTACATTTGTGCAAGACGGGGGTCAAGTTATGCCTCAGGTATTCCTCTACCCTGTGTGTACCATTATGCCCAAGTATTTAAAACAGTGTACTATCCTAATCTGGTTTGCACAAGGAGGCAAATTTAATGTTTGGGAGAAAACAGGGAGCAACACACAAAGTGAGACTAGGAGCCAAAATCACATATTAGAGACATCAAAGAAACCAAAGACTTATCAGTGTCTGGTAAGGACAACAATACATTCATAGAAAATATAGTGCAGCGCTGCAATCTAGGATATATGAATAGTTCATAAAATCTTCATATAGATCTTGTACAGAAACCCTGAAGAAAACCTTGAAGAAAATCTCTTCCTTGCAATGTATTGGTGACTGGAACTGTATAGAAAAAATGCGCACTCACCGACCACGCATTATAAATGCGCATGTATGTGACCATCAATCCAGGTAACCAGCAAACACACGGTACATCCCTCAGAGGTAAATCATCAGCCTTGGGTGTAGTGATATACAGCAGAGGCCTCCCCTCTGATGAAGTGCCGTAGCACGAAAGGCCTCAGGAGGAGCTGGGAGCACGTGTGACGTCATACACCGCCGCGACCACGAGGAGGTCCGGCGGCTATTTTCCTTGCTGGGTCAGTACACTATTTACTTCCATTGATGCTGGCAGTTGTTTATCTGTACGTGTACCCATGGATTTTTACTGCATGTGACCAATAAATAGTTTGAACCTACTACACTGTTGGCACTCCCTCTTTGTTTTGACCCTCTATTGAGGGTTTCAGATCCACAGCAGCTGGTTCCCAGTTCATCCTATATCCTGAAGAAGGAGCCCATTCATCTAGGCTGTCCATTCACTGGTTTAAGTGGATCTCTGAGTTCTGCTGTATATCTCTACACCCAAGGCTGATGATTTACATCTGAGGGATGTACCGTGTGTTTGCTGGTTACCTGGATTGATGGTCACATACATGCGCATTTATAATGCGCGGTCGGTGAGTGCGCATTTTTTTCTATACAGTTCCAGTCACCAATACATTGCAAGGAAGAGATTTTCTTCAAGGTTTCTGTACAAGATCTATATGAAGATTTTATGAACTATTCATATATCCTAGATTGCAGCGCTGCACTATATTTTCTATGATTCATTATACAAGATCTTTGTGATTCCTTTGAGTGTTCTAGCAACTGATTATATGAGCGCTCGCTTCACTCCCTTACAACAATACATTGCTCGCATATAGTGCAATTGTTTGCTCAATATTTCCACTTCTAAGCTGCACTGTGGAATCTGATTGCCTAATAGATGCTGCCAATGGCTCCACCACCAGTGCAAAAAAGTAGCCTTGGTGAACAGGGAAAGTGCTGTGATAGAGCAATTAGCTTGTAGACAGGCTCTCAGGGCAGAATAAAGCAACTGCACCCACTTGATGAAATTTTCACCTAAGCCAAAGAGATGCAGCACCTCCCATAGATAGGGCCATTCCACACTTTCAAATGCCTTGAAAGCATGCAAGGATAGAATATCCCTATCATCCCTATCATTCATGTTAAAGATGGGAAGCCGAGAGTTCAAGAATAGACTCTGCAGATTAATCGAGGTGGATCTAGTAGGAATGAAAACCAGACTGATCTGTGCAGATCAACTTCTGCATAACTGCATCTAGCCTATTCGCTAGAATTCTAGCCAGGATTTTAACATCTGAGCTGAGCAAAGAGATTTGGCAATACAAATCTGGATACAGTAGTCTTTGCTCTGCTTGGGGCAGAACTATTATGCTGGCTTCATTCTTTAAACTTGGGAAGGCATTCAGCCAAAGCACCTTGTTAAAAACCTCCAGCAACTCAAGCAATAATAAGTGGCTGCATTGTATATATTCTGGAAGCTGTCCATGCCAGACACTTTGACTCCACCGCAGCCTCAGTGAGTTCCTTAATGGTCAATGGGGCGTTCAGCCGCCCTTTCAGTACTGCATGCTGAAACTCTGTTTAACAACTTTTTCTGCTTATCACTGAGATGCCCCTACGTGGGCTAGTGCCTGAAGATGTACATGTTTTTGTTCAGTGCATGTTTCTTGAAAAAGAAAACCCAATAAAAAGAATTATAAAAAAAAGCATTCCCACAGACTTCAATGAGCCTGAACTCTCACATGAGCCGGACCGCACTGCTCAAAAAATGGACGGAACTCTTTTTCAAATTATTATTATTATACCGGACTTATATAGCGCCAACAGTTTGCTCAGCGCTTTACATTATGGAGGGAGACAGAACAGTAACAATACAGTTCAATACAAGAGGGATTGGAGGGCCCTGCTCCTTGGATCTTACAATCTAGGAGGGATTGGATAGTGGTACAAGAGGTAATTAGCTGTGGGGGTTGGAGTGGTAGGAGGAGTAGTTGATTCCAGTGTTAGCTGGGGTCGGGGTAGGCTTCCCTGAAGAGATGGGTTTTCAGAGTGCGCCTAAAGGTGAGCAGATTAGGTGATAGCCTGATAGCTTGGGGTAGGGAGTTCCAGAGGATGGGTGAAGCCCTTGAGAAATCCTGGAGACGAGCATGGAAAGAGGAGACAAGGGAGCTAGAGAGTAGGAGGTCTTGCGAGGATGGGAGAGTACGGTTTGGGTGGTATTTAGAGACAAGGTCGGTGATGTAATTAGGGGCAGTATTATGAACGGCTTTATACATCAGTGTTAGTGTTTTGAATTTTATCCGTTGGGCAATTGGAAGCCAGTGGAGGGATTGGCAGAGAGGGGTGGCAGATATAGAGCGGTTAGTAAGCGGTGAATGAGTCTGGCAGCAGCATTCATGATGGACTATAGTGGGGATAGCCTGCGGTGAGGTAGGCCAGTGAAGAGGGAGTTACAGTAGTCAAGGCGTGATATAATAAGGGAGTGATTGAGTTGCTTAGTTGTTTCCGAGGTTAGGAACGGTCGTATCTTGGAGATGTTGCGGAGGTGAAGTCTACACGAGTTTGTGAGTGATTGGACCCGGGGCTGAAATTTGCACTGAAACTATACTCTGGTTGCACTGCATATATGTGAGCAGGCACAATAGAAACCAATGTTATTTCACATATTATGGAAAATGAATGCACTTCAAAGTGCACCCTCTAGAGGCCGGCAGAGGCTGCAATAAAAAGAGAAGGCGGTGCTTGACGTCAACAGGGATCAGCAGATTCACCAGAGCTGTTGTAGCAGTTGTAAGTCCAAATGTGCCCCAGCCCTGCACCTAGTGGTGGGATATTATGCAGGTTATAGGGGCTTGACAAAAATGAATTTGGTTTGTATTTTCCATCATTAGCAGGGGCAGTCCGAAGGATTGAGAAACTGGCCCTAGAAAGTGTTGAATCTGTGGAGGGCCTTGATGTACTAGGTGCACAATAAATATATATAATCTTCATATGGGGAGGAATCGACATTGTTCAATCCTTTGCCATGGTACTGGTGGCTCTGTCCTGGTCCCTGTTCAGCCAGACGTATGATTCACATTTGGCCTGTACCAGGTGAATTCTCTGTTTGCAGCTTCCTGTGCCATCTCTGCCATCTCATTGGACTATGAATCAGTATTAGTATGCTGGCACATGGTGCAGGAAGCTGCAAAGCCCCATTAACAAATAATGGTGTCAATTACCAGGTGGCGCATTGTGGCAGGGGTGCCTGGCTTACAGAACTGG